CATCCCTGCTGTGGAGCAGAGAGCCCTGCCCAGCCCAGCCCAGAGCATGCCGGGATGCTGGGGGGTTTGATTTTTACTCCCAGGAGTCTGGGACAGACATTGCACAAACTGGTTTGACCCAAATCAGTTATGGTATAATACTACATTCAATCAGGTTTATCTCCCAAGTGGTTTCAGCCATTTTCAAACTGGTTTATGTGCACTGAACATCTATTGTGTTACAGGTTTAAACCAGTTTCTGATCACTTAAACTGGTTTGTGTAATGTCTGTCCCTAGCCATGATCTATATTAGCTCCTAGGATCTACAATGGACAAGTTAAAAACATGATGCTGATTGAACCCTTCTGCTCTTTCTGATGGCTTAGGTTCCAAAGCTTTAGTCTTGTTTCAGAAATAAATGTTTTCAAATACGTTTTGCCTCAAATACGGCTCCTGGACTATGCTTGTTCTCTGTTCTTGGATGAGTGGGATATTTTTAAAGTTCTAAAATGTTTGGTGAACAAGTTTAGTGCAAATCAAATAGCCCAGCCCAAGTGTTGTGGTCTTAAAGAAGAACTGCAAACTGCTCAGCGATCTGCAGTCAAGTCTTTGAAACTTCAGCAACAGATAACAACAATAAGCCCAAAATGGTTTCTGTACCTTCATAGGCAGACAAGATTCTTTGGGTAAATGTGATATCTTTTATTAGACCAACTAAATGCTTGGAAAAATTGTTCTTTGCAAGTTTTTGTGTGCAAACATCCTTCTTCAGGCATAAGGAGAGTCTGCTGGTGCTATGCATTTCCCCTATGCCTTCATGACTCTTATGGGCCATGATCAAGCCACATCTAGTGAAGGAATGAAATGGTGGGAATTTCTTAGCTTTTTCCTCTCAAAGTTTCAGCTCTTTTATAGGTTGTAACACAACTTCAGTATTTCCACACTGCCAAAATTAATTTAAAACTCATCAGTTTATTTCAGGTCCAGAAAATGACACACTATATGGGTTGACAGTGCTAATCACTATTTTGCAGTGTGCCTGTTTCAGCAAAATATAGGAAGATGCAAATTGTTTGCTTTTTCATGTAAACATAATTCAAAGTATTTGAGATACTGGACAGCACAGTTTCTCCAGCAGTGTAGTGTTACACATTGCTCTGAGCTTGCAGGGATGCAGTTATTTTGACCCCAGTAGATTAAATGGCTTGGGTTCTTTCCTACTAATCCATTGGAAACTTTTGCAGTCTCTGAATGAAGACTCATTTAGAAATGCACAGAAACACAGACTTATGCATACCATCATTTTTTATTATGTCATGTAGTTTTGCAAGGTCTTATCCATTTTACATTGTAGAACCCTATTATCCAAAGCGGCAAGTATTTGATTTGGATTTGGATTCGGCCAATTCAGAGGTTCAGTGATTCGATTCGGTGATTCGAGTCACTGTTCCAATTTTATTTGGCTGAATCAGATTCGAAGATTCAGCGCCGATTCAGAGATTCGGCCATAGACTAAACAGGCAGCAGTCCTCGACCACACTGGACACAGCTGCCTTCAGCTGGTAAGTCTGTTGTGGCGGGCGGAGGGGGGAGGGAAGG